CGATGTGGATGAGGACGAGCAACGGCGCCGAGTTCGACCCGCGGCGCCCGCGCACGCGCGCTCAGTGCGGGCGGCTGGCGGAGCCCGTCTTGGACGCGGCCCAGCACAGGGCACAGAGAAGCACCAGAGTGTCGCACAACACTCGCTGGTGGGCCCACCTGAACAGTCGGGCGTAGGCGGGACCTGGTTTAGTGGACCTGGTGTAGTGATGTGTACTAGGGGACGCCCCCCCCCCAAGCCCATTCCACTAACGGGAGCTGCCTTCACACGAAGAAGAAAACCAGCAACGACAGACCAGGTTTAGTAGTTCCAGTCCATATTTTGGGTCGCGGGGCCCAGTCACTAAACAGCTCCCCTTAACTGGGGTCCTGGCTATACCCGAAACAGGATGGGGGCTCGGAATTCGAGGGAGAACATTTGCCCTGCATCTGCGGCCTCCGCTGGCCGAAATCAGCTGCAAGCAGCAACTTCCGTAGCCCGATCATGTCCTGCTCCCCCCCCCCCCAAAAAAAAAGTAGCCAGCACGGGCCCCTGAAGAGGTCCTCCTCCTCCTCCTCCTCCTCCAACTGCTCCTGCTCCTGCTCCTGCTCCTCCTCCTCCTCATCCTCCTCCTCCTCCTCCTTCCTCCTCCTCATCCTCCTTCTCTTCCTCCTCTTTCTCCTCCTCCTCCGCCTCCTCCTCCTCCTTTTCCCTCCTCCTCCTCCTCCTCCTCCTCCTCCTTCACCTCCACCTCCTCCTCCTTCTCCTCCTCCTCCTCCTCCTCCTCCATTCCTTGTCCTGATAAATAACATCTCCCTGTCGCACCCCGAGGCCAATTTTTAGGGCGGGCCGGGCGTTTCGCCTGTGACTTCTCATCATTTATGACTCTGAAGCTTGAACATATGGCAACACCTTCACAGATGGAGGGCGGGTCGTTCTCAAAATGTGGCTCTCGCCCTAGCGCCGCGCACATTCGTTTTAAACATTCGCAAGAGTTTCACGGATTGAGGACGGGCCGTTCTCAAAATGTGGCTCTCGTCCTAGCGCCGCGCGCATTCGTTTTAGACATTCGCAAGCGTTTCACGGATTGAGGGCGGGTCGCTTTCAAAATGTGGCTCTCGCCCTAGCGCCGCGCACTTTCGTTTTAAACATTTGCAAGAGTTTCACAGATGGAGGGCGGGTCGTTTTCAACATGTGGCTCTCGCCTTAGCGCCGCGCACATTCGTTCTAAAACATTTGCCAGAGGTTCACGGATTGAGGGCGGTTCCTTTTCAAAATGTGGCTCTCGCCTTAGCGCTGCGCACATTCGTCCTAAAATATTTGCCAGAGTTTCACGGATTCCCTGGTCAGCGTACCAGAAGCGGTGTTTTGGAGGAATTCAGGATTATACGGGTGCAACAGTTATGTAGGTTCGCGGTGTTGAAGTTCCAAACATGGCGATCTTGCACGGGTCCAGATTGTCAGGACGCAGCAGTCGGCTTGATCCGTGGCGTAGAAATCCCGAGAACAATGTTTTGGCATGCTTCAAGGTCTTCAAACGGTTGTCTTCCAACGAGGCAGTTCCCTCGATGGAAATGAACCGTTGTAGGGGCATCTGAAGAGGGAGCTCGGAGGGAGGGTACATTCCAACATCGTTGATAATTCTTGGGTTTACACTGGTCCTCCTCCTCTTCCTCCTCCACCCCCACCTCCACCTCCACCTCCACCTCCATCACCTCCTCTTCCTCCTCCTCCTCCTCATCCTCGCCATCATCATCATCATCATCATCATCATCATCATCATCATCATCACCACCACCACCACCACCACCACCACCACCACCACCATCATCATCATCATCATCATCATCATCATCATCATCATCATCATCATCATCATCATCATCATCATTATCATTACCATCAGTATCATCATTAGTTTTGATGTTATCTTCATCAGCACTATCACCAGCATAATCATCAGCATCATCATCATCAGCATCATCATCACCATCAGTATCACCATCAGAATTAACACATCCATCATCATCATCAGCATCATCATCCTCATCATCAGCATCGTCATCGGTATCATCAGCATCATCCTCATCATCATCGTTATCATCGTCATCAGCACCATCATCATCATTCAGCATCATCCTCGTCATCATCACCATCATCAGCATCATCATCGTCATCAGGAGGGTCGGCATCAGCAGCATCATCACCATCAACAACATCATCAGCATCATGATCATTATCATCATCAGCACCACTATCATAATCATCATCAACACCTCCACCATCATCATCATCGTCATCATTTTCAGTAATTACAATCATCATCACAATCACCACCATCACCATCATCATCATCACCAGCAGCAACAGCATCAGCAGCACCATCATAATCAACATCATCAGAATCATCAGAATCATCATCATCATCATCACCGTCATCATCATCCATCATCAGTATCACCACCACAATCCGCATCATCATCACCATCATCACCACCCCCACCATCATCATCATCATCAT